ATTTATTTACAATTCTATGAACATTATATCTCAATATTGATAGTTGATTCCTTCACATGGATTTACAAAAAGCAAAGTTGAGTTAATAAACAAATTCAATATAGACCATAAATTTAAAATTTACCAATACCCCTCCCTATAATATACATTTTACTTAATCGGGTACGGGCTTTTCTCTCTCTTCTTATCTCCCGTAAGCGTTTAAGCAAGTGGTTTCGCCTCTTGCGCGCACAGGTAACTGCAACCTGCCCAAAAATTGTGGATGGGCTCATCTCATAGGCTATCCCCAAATTTCTTAACCCAATTAGATGGGACGAGATAGTCCAAGCGTAGCTCTGCTGTTTCATATAGCGATAAAGGGCGATTGCGCTTATTATGACGTATGACGTAAATATAAAATCATATATAATCGAAATTATTATGAATATTTAAATGGTTTCATTAACATCAGGCATAATACATTAACTTCACCTTTTTAAACAAAGATGTGCCTTATCACCCCTCATTTGATATATATACTATAATAATAAAGATACCAGACAATGGGTTTAAATTCCCAAACAATGGATATTAATCCACTATACTGGATTTTCTATATTAATACTATCTGACTTCTCTACAGGTTTTATTTCAATAAAAATAAGTTTTATTTATTCTTTCCTTTTTTCTTTTATCTTTCACACTTTTCTACCTTTTTTCTATACCTTTCATTTTTTATAGGGTTATTAAAATGCTGATTTGGGTCGATTTAAAAAATGACCCTATTTTTATTTTGAAGCCTCGAGATTTAGCAAATATGGGTCCAAACATTTTTGCCACCTAAGCAAAATCTTCAATCTAACATATTAATTTGGCTAAAATAATTGGGTTGTTTTTAAAAATCGATTTAAATCAGTTTTAATATCCTACCCCCTCCCTTTTTTCATTATTCCCTTTTTCTTCTCCTTAATATTTTTGTATTCCCTTTCCTTTTTTCTTTCTCTTTCCCTTGCCTTTCCATTTTCTTTCTCTTTACCTTAGACTCTCCCTGCTCATTTCCAGATTTTCGTTCCTTTCTCCTTTCCAATTTTCTTTTCCTTATCATTTTCCTATTCCTTTCTTTTTTTTCCTTTATCTTTTCCTTTTCCTTTCCCTTTACCTTTACATTTTTTTTCATCCTTTCCCTTTTTCTTTTTCTTTTTCTTTTCCTTACCCTTTATTTTTTCATTTATCTCTCACTTTTCCCTTTTAATCTATTTTTCTTTCACTTTCCCTTTTTCCCTATTTTTTATTTCACTTTCCATTACCCCGTTTTTTTCCTATTTATTTCATCTCTCTTTTTTCTTTCCCTTTCACAATTCCTTTCAGTTCTGCTTCTTTCTATTTTTTTCCCTCTTTCTTCCTATCATTCTTAGAAAAAGTTTAATTTAATCTGATTCTGGATTGCCACTTTCTTTCAAGCACCGGTAATTTCCCATTAAAAGTTTGATCAAAAAAGGAAAAGGTCCATTCCAATTCAAAAAAGGAAATTCTTTATTTTTTTTAAATATTTAAAAAATTAATATTCTCAAGGATCCTACACGATAGAAAGTATGCCAAAATGGTTCTTCAAACAATATTCATTTTAATTTGCATATATATTTATTATTATTCATATAGTAAATATGTATAATTTTATTTCTCATTGTTCCTACTCAATAAAATTAGCTATTGAAAATACACTCATTTATATTGTATACATAAATTAATAATATTTTTCAAATATCCGTTCTTAACCACATACCCATATTATATTTTGTGATCCTTCGCCATTTGTAATTCATGGGAATTTCTGATTCCGAACCATTTGTAATTTCCAGGCTATACTTCCTCCTAAGGCAGGCTATGATAAATTAATTAGAAATTTAACTATTTCCGAGCTTGGGATAAATTTTTAAAAATTACTATGGGTTTGGCTGGGCTTAGAAAATATTCCTCAAAATTAATACAGGCTTGGACCTAGCTTGGGAAATTTTAAAATTATTATGGGTTGGACCAGGTTTGAGAAAAAAAATTTCAAAATTATAATGGGTTGGGCTGGGCTTGGACGCTTGGAAATTTTTTTATATATAATATGGGCTAAACATTATCAAAAAAAGGACCATGAACCTCTGATTAATGCATTATGATTTTTTTGAATTTTATTTTAGTTTTGAACTACCAAAATTATTATGGTCTACCAAGATTGGGGAAATTTTTTCAAAATTATCGTGGTCTTGGACGTGGCTTTGGATTTTTTAATATTAAATGTTAGCTATAGGTAATCAATAATATTTTAACAAAGAATTTTGATATGGGTCTCAATAATTTTAATCAAAAAATAGTACTCACTTAGTATTAATGGGTTGAACTTGACCTGCCTTAAGAGGGGGGGGGGGTATAAAAGTATAAAGATTGGATATGGTTTTTAAATAAAAAGTAACATCAATCGTAAGAGAACGAATAAAATTCTCATCCCCGTCATTTTTGACCGGTCTACTAGTTTTATTTATTTTTCAAACAAAATATTTTTATTTAGATGGGATGGGTATTTATTTAATCGTCATGTCAACAACATATTTAATTAAATCATCACAACACAATTAAATAATATTTTTGTTTTTTTTATATTAAAAATTTTTTTAAAAAAATGAAATATATTAAAATAAATGTAAGGTATAAATTTTAAATAGCAAATTTGAAATCTTGTTCAAAAAGAACATCTTCCTTTTAGCACTGAGTTTGACAATATTTAAATAAGTCTTAAATTTATAACTAGTAGTCCATTTCTGATTATAGAAAAATTATAATTTATCTTTTATTTAAAAAATAAAGTGCTTTTTTGTGTCGTTCAAAAGTCGTATAGCTGGAAATAATCGCTCGGCTAACCAACATTTTAATCCTATTTTCTTAGTATTTCTAAGTCCTAGGTGTACCCGATTAAAAATTATTTTAACCCTAAGCTAAGTTGCTTGCAGGGCTTTACTATCTAACCCCAGAAAATTACATTACATTTTGCTGTTTCTGTAATTTTGGCAAATAATTTTTATTTGAACTTTTTGGAATAATTTTATTCATCTGAACCCCGGGTCTGTGCTCGGGGTTCATGCTCGGAGCTGGTTTGGTCGATTTTTAGACCCAAACCTTGGGTCTGGGTTACACAACCAGCCAATTAACAATACTATAATGCCAATTTTGGTAATTTTACTCTTATTTTCCCGATAATTTATTTTCCCTTTAAATGATCACAGATTAAAGCTATAAGATTCACTAATTACCTACTTAAGGGGTTGTTATAAATTTTAAAGCTAGAATTTCCAAAAGTTGGCTTATTTTTTTTACGCTTAACTAGCTAAAATACGAGTTGTTCAAGACCAAAATTGTAACAATAAAAAGGAATAATACCATATGGGTTCGCTTTGGGTTGCCTTCTTCTTTAATATATCATTATATAATTATTTTAGGCTTACTAGTTATTTGGTAATTGAATACAATTAGTCAGTCGATTAAATTTTGAAAAAAATATTTGAATGTTAGATTTTTTTTTTAAAAAAAACATCATAAAATTCAGTAATTTATATCCAGTCAGAGTCAATGTTGAAAGCTAGTATAACAGGAGAATAAATTTATATTTAAAATGGGTTTTGCCATATAATCCATATTACAATTACAAACTATTTAAAATGTCAAAAAAAATATATATAATTAAAGTATTATATAGCTAAAAACCTTATTTTATTTTTTTATTCTACTAGCTCAGTTATTTCAACAAATAACTTCTCAGGGCCTTAAAACTATTAGAATGGTACTAATAGTTAATATCGTTGGGTCCTGTATTTTTTTAAAATTTTATAATATATTCCTAGTGATGTTCAGAGTAGGAAATTAATTACTTCATTCGAATTTTAGGAGAAGTCAAGAAATTCGTGGTGCCATGATTTGGTAATGATTTAAAAATAACAATAACTAAATTGACAAATTAAAAGTATTTATTAGTTATATAAAAAAAGTTAAGAATGCCGATCGAATTTCTATAAGTGAAGTATATATCTAGATAAATATATGGTAATAAAAAGGAAATAATGTATAATCTACGAATATAGTTAGTATACCCATTATTCTTACATTATATTAAAAATTATTTTGAAGAGATTAAATAATAATAGATCTTTTCTAAAATATATTTTTAAATTCTTCTTACCTTTATCTGATTAAATATAACATATCTTATAAAAATAAAATTATATTCAAAATGGTGATTTTCGAGCAACAAAATTTCCGAAAATGCCATAAATATGAAAAACTTTAATCATGGGTAATTTGATATGTATAATGTTTTAATAATAACCTACTTCGAAATATCGCTTAAAATATTTTATCAAAAAATTTATAGAATTTTTAATGGTAAAGTACTATATTAAGCTTAAAGACTTGTAGAATTTTGGCTATATAATTAAAACCCGATCCAATTTTTAAAAATAACTAAGCGCTTAATAAACTAAATGTTATCTCTAGCGCATCCATTTTTATAAAATAATAAACACTTATTATATATATCTTTTTTAATTTGTGAGGATCCTAATTTAATTTGATTATACATTGATAAGAGTTAATTCTACATAAATTGAATCTAAAAAAAATTATGTCATAAAAAACGCAAGTCTAATAGTACGATTTGCATTTCCTTATACAAAACGCAAAAAAATGTATTTCAAATGATATCGTGCAAAAGTGTCACAATTTGTAAACACTAATAAATAGCAAACTGGTTTGCTTTTTTTTCGAAATACGCTATTAGTTCGCACTAACTTCTTTATTTATTTTGTAAATAATGAAATATATTTTCTCCAAAAATTTATATTATTTTTATTGATACATAATTTTTACATTTTATAATAAAAAAAAAATATTTATTTATTTTTTTGATAAAATCTAAAGAATATGAATCTATAAATAATAATTTACTTTTTGAATTTCAAAATAAAGTATCTTTTATTAAAGACCTATAATCAGGATTGCACAACACTTCAAGATAAAACAATGTTATAACATTTATAACATTTATTAGATCGTAAATAATATTGATTTTGTGCAAGGTAGACACTTCAAATCGCAAAGAATAATCCCTAATTAAAGTAATCAATAACGATGGTAATACAAATGCCGCACTTTGAAAAACCAGGAGACTCATTGTAAGTAAATTTATTCGTAAACTTCTGCTTAACAAAATGGTTGGCCGATTATCTAACCGATATAATAACCTACTATCTATCCTATTATTTATCCCGCTTCGGCTTGTGGAAGGGAAATTCGTACTATTTGTGACTCTTTTTTCAGTGGGTAAGGAATCTGTTTATAAAAATTAAGATTATATATTATTTATACTGTAAAAAAAATTAGTAAATCAATTAGTATTTTTATTGAATCACATACACCTATCATTATAATATATTTTCGTTCATAAAATAAAGGGAAATAATTTTATCCATGCAAAAAAAAAATTTAAATACCTGGATTCGTGAAAATTGGCTTTATCTTGCAATTTTTAGATGTATTCTCTCGTTCTTCTGTATATCGAGATTTGTTAAGTTCTGGTTCTTTTCCCGATAATTTATGAGAGTTGTTAATTTTATAATCATTTAATTTTTTTGAGGCTTCTCCAACAATAAACATAGATGAGTTGGTTTGCTCTTGATAATTATTTATAAAGTTTATTGGTGTATGCCTAATAGAGTTGGATTTTTTAATTTTAATGATTACATTAATATATGCATAGCCCATAATAAGAAAAGGAATAAATGTGACAAAAAGTTCCCTCGCAAGTTGATAAGTTATCCACATTGCTGAACTATATAGTTTATAAATCTTGAAATAAAAAATATATGACGGTAACTTTTGTTCATTCTTTCCTGTTATACGATCATTATCTATTTCATATTCATCGCAAATTCTCCCCACTAGTATTTTATGCCAAAAAATTACAGGAGCAAACAGGATTACAAGGTATAATAAAATTGCTATAATTGCGTATTTAATTTTTTTAGGCCAAAAGAATTTAAGATATTCTCTATGACAAGCCAATGAGTAACAGTAAACACACATCCATACCGATATCAAAAAACCCGTGCTTTTACTTACCTGCATCAAGATGTAGTAATAATTAGATATATAATTGTTCCACCTAAATCCTAACCATATTTGTCTATGAAGACTGGTATGGATACTTTTTAAATGATAGTTGAATAAGGGATAGGTAGTAAAAATTATAATTGTTAGCAAATTGAAACCAAAATAACTGGCGTATAATAATTCAGCGCCTGCCATATCAGATAGACGAGATGGTGTATTGTATGGATCCATGAGCGAAGGATTATAAGTCCTTGAAGAAGAACAAAAAAATAGATTGAAGAAAATACGTCGGAACTTTTCTACGAATGAAAGATTATTACGTGAATGAGTACGAATTAAGTTTTCCCTCTTATTTGCCTTGTAAGCGCTAAAACAATATTTATGTACAGTTATGTGGTGAATAATAATTAATATTATAATTTTAAAATATACTTTATAACTGAAAAATATAAAACTTGATTAAAATCGTATAACTATTCAATATCCTTTCTTGCAATAATGATTGCGCCTAATAAGGGAATATACCCCTGTTAAATTGATCTATATCATAGGCATGGTAAAGGGGGGGGGGTGCTATTCTATTATGTTATTACTTTTTATATATCATGTTTTTCCATCATTTTGGTGGTTTAGTAATAGTTTATTGAACAGAATTCCGAGTTTGAGCTTTTTGCGTGTTTCGCGTCTTTTTCCATGTTTTATTTTGTTTAATCATTATTTTAGTTTAAATTTAGCAAAAAGGGGGACCATTATAACAAAATTATCATGTTATCACTTTATTTTTTTAAATATTATTATAATAATATAATGCATAAAATGGAATGGATCAAAAAGGGGTGAAATAAACTAAATATTCGCCTTAGCGAATCTTTTTGATAATAACTTCACGTTTCCTTGATTGATTATAATTTCCGACCTGTAAATTCTAAGTCACTTTTTAATAAATGGAATTACAAAATTAAAATATTACAATCAACGTGCCTAGCTTAGTATTATTATATTATCAATTTTTTTATATCAAATATTAAAATTCCTCTGATAGAGGAGATGCCTATTAATTTATCATCATTAAACTGGAAATATGTTTTGTCATAAGACTTGCAAACAAATACGTCATAATGGAATTCATAAGGTGAAAGCCACATTATCAAGGGGGCATTTATTAATTTCATTATTTTTAATATATTCCCTCATCCCATTTATTTAAGATTTACATAGAACTTCAGTCGGAAACAAATTCGTATTTACTCTTGCCCATAACGAATGTGAGACTCTGCTACTCATTCATCTTTTTCTAAAATATTCAATATTAAAACTAAAGCCTCTTTAATTACTAAAATTATCGGAATTAGCATCCATTAACCTATTTTGCATATTGTCTATTAAGGCGGTAATGAATTGATTTTCGTTGATATCAGATGTTTTCCTTTGATATCTTGAAAATTTCATATGTTCTTCTTTAGAAATCATTGCCTGAGAATATGATTATTCCTTTTCCTCTTTTTATAATTTTACTGGAGAGCACTTTTAAAAATTAATTTTCTATTGTTTTCAATATGATAGATGGTCATCCTTATATTAGCTATAATTTTATTTATTTTATAAATATTTCCGTTTTTATAAAAAATAATGGAACCTAATTCCCAACGACAATATTAAATAAAAACTTATTTAGAAATTATAAAAGAGATTTATAACCTACCTGGTTTCTCCACAAATGATTTTAGAATACGAATCTTTCGGCTTATTGATTTTTTAGCATTCGTTAAGCTGAATGTTCTTGTCTGAAGCTTTAAAGACAGATTAAAAAATATAGAACTTAATATATTAAGGTGAGATCTAATAAAAATTCACCACTTTCTAACTAGGTGGACCCGATAAATTTTAAACTGTTGCTAGAATTTACTGAATTTTTGAAATATGTATACAGGGCCTCGTTGTTATTTCAAATATTATAAGGACTTCCGGACAACATCGTACAACAAGGTCTTTCCAATCTTCAGCAACTGAATATCCAATTTAGATGCTATTTGATCCAACGCCGTTCGACTTGTATTATACTGGCTATATAAACTATAAATTAGGTCAATAAAGAGTAGATTCAACTACCAGAATATTAATTTTCTATTGTAAATTGTAATATTATTTGCAATTTTTATATATTGCATTTCCTTGGCAATAAATTATTAACAAGGCAAAATATCTAGAGTGCAAAATGTATTCTATATCTAAGCCGTTGTTTGTAAATCTATTAACGATTCAAAATCCGCAAACGGGTGATGATTTAGCAAGATAATATGCAGTTCTTAATATTAACTTGGATTGTTCAATGTGTGTAACCATTTTTTATGCATGCTCTGTTTATAAAAATAATTTGTAATATATTTTTTCATAAACACTACACGTCTAGTTATTTAACATTCTTTTATAACCGATTAAATAGAAAAGGGTTTGTTTTTAAATTAATGTACTATTACATCAATATACTATCATTCTATTTGTGAAATATTTTATGTTTATTGCTTGATAAAAATATTAATAATGTGCTAAAATACAATTGTAAAAAATAATTAAATTTTTTAGAAGGGTTTAGACTCACCTTTGTTTAAATTAAAATTGGCGGTACAGTGCCTCATTGTGCCCCTTCCTGACTGATTACATCCCTGGTTGCAAATTATAAATAAGTATTTTTTTAAGAATATGTTATATTAATTATACTAGGACAAATTGATATATATATAATCGCTAAGTTATGTTATTATTCTTTTATCCCTAAAAGTGTATTATATAGGGTTCAAATAAGCTGTTTTGGTTTTATAAAAAATTTTAATCATCGTGGAATGATACATTACATTTCCATACTAGATGATCTCACTGCCTTAGAAAAAAAAAATGAATTAAAACTAACGCACCTCTAAAATACTCGAATTATTATGTTTAAATACTTTAAAAAAATATGGCTAAGCTACATATATTTTAAAGATAGTTTGTAGTTGGCTACAATGTTCATCTTTGATTAGAAGCGTAAGTTATAGTTCATCATTAATGTATAATGTAAATATAAGACTTATCTAAATGATTCTAAAGTAAAAATTTTTACTTGAGTAACAAAGTTAGAATACCAAGAGAATTTCCTATATAACCGAGAATCAATAGTATGGGATATATCCTAAGATAGACAATAGTTTCCAAGGATGAAATTCCCATTAATGATTCAATATAATAACAACCAGCATTCGTTGTATCCACAATGAACATCCTTGTTCTTAATATCTTAGAAGATGCCATTTTCTTTTTATTAAATCTTATTATGCTATTAATTTATATTTAACTATCACCTAAATATTAAAAAAAATCATATAAACGACAAAACAATTTTAAATTATATTTAATAATATAAACATATAATTAATTTGCTTTCTTCTATTTAAATAAAATTTTATTTTAATTAAATTTTTAATTTATGTAGAGTGAAAATGTATAATTTTGATATTTAGTTAATAATAAGTTAATTAAAAAAACTGTACTAAAATATTAAATTATAAATTTATAGGCAAATATTCTTAATTTCTCCCATATATTATATTTCAAAAATAATTTATTATTTATTAACTATTATATTTTTTAATTAAAATAAAACAAGATAATTAGGTTTAACCATATGAATTAGCATTTCTATAAATTTATTATTTTTTAAATTATTTATTTGGAATAAAAAATATTTTAAAAGATTTCGAGCAATTATTCAAATTTATTTTTTTTTACATTAAGTAGAACTATTTTGAATTATCCAATTTTGTTATTTATTCCTATGAATTAATAGAATTATTTTATATAAATGATTGAAACAAGAGTAAATTTCGTGTAATCAAATGTTAAGGAAAGAATAAAGTTTTTCGTATTTTTTTTTTATCTAATTTAAGAATAAATTGTAAATTCTTTTTAAATCTAGTTTTTGGGGGAAATAAATAGAAAACTCAAAAGTCGTAGTACAAGAATAAAATGTAACATTCAGTAATTGGGTAACCAGAGATTATGTTTGTTAAGTAATAAATGCAAATTTAGTAATTATAGTAGAGCAATAGAGAGAATAAAAATATCAACCAATAAAGAAATACGTCAGAAAATTTCACATATAGAAAGTATAGATATTCATGAGATAATAAAAATAGGAAAGGAGCGAGGAAGAAGCTTATGACAAAATAATTAATAAAATTGATAATATAAAAATAGAAGGAGACACAACCGAAATAAAACAAATAGAAATGCAGAAAGACAATCAGGCGGATACGTATAGAAGAATGAGAAAATACGATGATCGAAATAGAGGGGTAGATGCACAAACGAATTCCATATATAGAAATCAATGGAGGCCTAGATACGACAGTTATCAAAGAAATAATTATCAAGAGAATAATTTTAATCCTCGTTTTCAAAACAATTTTAATCCTCGATATCAAAACAATTTAAATTCGAGACATGCAAATAATTATGAGCGAAGATCTAGGAATAATTATAATCCTAAAGTTTATGTTAATAATACGGGGTATAATGGGTCAAGACCTTATAATAATTTTAAGATTTAACAATAAAAATAATTATTATAATAACTACAATAACTATAGATATAATAATAATGATAATTACAAATATAATTATAGAGATTATAAACATCAAAACGAATCAAGATACATACCAAGATACAATAATAATCGTAACAATAATCAGTCATACAACAATAGATAGAGACAATGATAATAATCTATCCAGATTCGAATAATATAAATACCGTCGATATAGAAGAAATAAAGGAGGAAATAATGATAAAAAGGAATATAGTTTATTTAACATTGATGTGAATAATATGGAAGATGATGACAGGGCAAATGATGCTTACAAAGTAACGATATACCTTAACGAGATAGACATGCAGATCGATACCGGGGCACGATATTCGATATTGCCGATTAATATTGGTAGAAAGATAGGAATTAAAGTCTTAAATAAATCGGACACGAAACTGACTGGCTATGATGAATAATTAAGGTGCAAGGAATCGTTCAAATAAAAGTGAGATATGAAGCCAAAACTTAAAGCTTAGATGTTATGTAGTCGAAAGTGACAAGAGTGTACTTCTGGGAAGGACATGGATAAAAGTTTTCGGAAACAAATTTGGGAATCTAATCGAGGAAAGTTATTAAAATATTAAATGAAAAAAATCGACAAATTTATAGCAATGTTCACATAATAAAACAAATATTTGAAATAATAAAGTTTAAGGGCAAACAAAACTTACCCTATAGAGGATCAAATGCTACTGAAACACTTAGCCACTTTGAAAATGAAAATTTGAATCATGGGAATTTCCTGGAAATGATTCGTATTATCAAATATTAAGAGATCATTTAGAGAAGGCTTTTTTAAAGAGCAAATGTAGAAAAGAAAAGCTTAAACTCTCTGAAAAATCAAAATCAAAGGGAAGAGGTTCTCTCATAACCTTGTTGTCGAAAACAACTGTTAACAAAGTTATAGATGTTGTTCTTGATCAAATCAGGAATTTAATAAAAAAAGGAGTTTGGTAACAAACGTTTAAATGGATAGTACTCAAGACATTAGTGTTTATGATCAGTGAATGCTTTTTAAAACATGGAATTCAAATGAGAAATATAATAGGAGAATTATTTGATGGTGCGGCAAATATGCGGGGTAAATTTGTTGGGTTGCAAGCTCTTATTAGACAAGAGGCTCCAAGTAGTTTGTATATTTGGTGTTATAGTCACATATTAAATCTATGTATATGTGATTCATGCCATAATATATGAAGGCAAAAATTTGAACAGACTAGCAACTTTCTTTGGTAAATCATATAAAAGGATGGATGCTTGGGTGAAACAGAATAACTCATCTGGCCAAAATAAGTTGAGAAGACTGCAAAAAATAGGTGAGACAAGGTGATGGGCACGTGAAAAAGCCCTTAGATGGATATATGGCAAAGAGAGCCTACTTCCAATAACGATAAGTGCCTTACAATTTATAATTGATAATAAATCATTTGAGGCAAAAACCTCATCAGAAGCACAGTCTTTGATTGATAATTTATGTAAATTTAAGACTCTATGTACTGCTATAATATATTTAGAAATTTTTGAAATAATGGGGCCATTGTCATTATAAATTCAAACTAAGAATTTAGATATTTTATCAGCGTGGAAAATGATAGAAGATGCAAAGTCTTCTGTATCTATAACTATTACTTCAAATCAAAATAAAGCAACAAAAATAGCTTCTAATTTAAAGAAACACTTTCATATTTAAAGACCCCAGAGAGTATCTGGGTACAAACTGCTATGCCAAAAAATCGAATAGGACGAGTGAAGAGAATATATAGTGACACGAAGGCCAATATAGGGTCGAAGTATTTCGTCTATAATTGATCAAATTATAAACAGCTTGTTGGAACGGTTTCTGCGAATAAAGAGCTTATTTTGAATGTGCAATATTTGCATCCAAGGCAGTTTGAGGATATAAATAGTAAAGGCATTTCTGAAAAGGCCTTAGAAAAACTGGCACAATTGGCAAATATATCGAGTGTTAAATTACTTAACGAATTGTGTTCATTTGCCAGTGTATTCAAAGATTTAGTGGAAGAATTAAATGAAACGGACAATGATATCGTGAATGTACAAGTGAGGATTCATATGAAGAAGATGAAATATAACAAAATGATAATAACTCAAAATGTGATAATAGATGTAACAAGTATTTAATATGTGTGTACGAAATTATTAAAAGATACAATATGCATACAAGTGCTTACACTAATTTGTTTTTAGCATTGAATACATTTTAACTTTATCATTTACGCAAGTCAATTGTGAGAGAACATTTAGTAAATTATAAAAAATAGGCTGAGAGCGAATATAGGACAAGAAAAATTAGAAGCATTTTTAATGATGTCAGTTGAACGGAAACTTTTAGCGTAGATTGAACTAAAAGATATTCTTGTTTATTTGCGCAAAGATTCAAAGTTAATGAGAGATTTATTAAAAATTATATATTAATTCTTTTATTTAAATCTTATTTATATCTATTTACAATATGATCGGCGGTAGCAATTTTATTTTCTGTGCAATATTGTATAATTGAAATAATTTTTTATGTGAAATTAATTGATTTTATATATTGAGTATTATGTATTATTTTATAATTAACATGTGATGTATGATTTAATTTTATAGTGCATTATCGTTGTATATCTAATATAAAATATATGTGCAATAAATATGATTTTAGATGTGCAATTTTTTGAAATAAAATATATATGAGTATCGTGTCATTGTTCTTTTTTTTTAAAAAAAATGTACATCGTTTGTACCTATTTTCAAAAATAAGAAGTTATAAAAATCATATAATTCATGAACCCGGCCGAAGACCCGCGAAATTGAGGGTATGGGGGCGAAGCCCTCATAAAAATGAGGCCGCTATAAAAAAAATGCCCGCGAGGCCGTAGCGTCGCCAGTCATCCCCTGCTCGTATATGCATCTGAACAACATAAAAAAGTTTTTGACAAAATAATAAAATATGGACTAACACCAAACTTCAACAAGAGTGTGTTTATGAAGAAGGTGATAAGATTTTTGGGACATGATATAGATGAAATAGCATACATCCGAATGAAGACAAAATCAAAGCCATTACAAACATGCCAAACCAACAACAAAAGAGGAGTTAGCAACATTTTTAGGCATGGTCAGTTATTACAGAAAATTTTTGTGTAACTTTGCAGACTAAGCAGACCTGCTGTACAAGATTGTAAACAAAGAAAAGTGGATATGAGAAGATGGACATCAGAAGAGTTTTGATGATTTGAAAACGTTGATTAGTAGTCCGCCAACTTTAATAGTCCGCCAACTTTAAATTTTTACAATCCTGAATTGCCTATAGGAATTGCTACTGACGCTTCGAAAAAAGGATTAGGTGCAGTATTATTTCACATTGAAGGCGATGGTAAAGAAAAACCTATAGCATTTGCGTCGCTTTATTAAAAGCCGAAACAAATTTTACGAACATAGAAAGAGAGGCTCTATCATTAATATATGCTGTGAAAAAATTTCAAGAATATTTGATTGCGACAAATTTTACGATAATAACAGATCACAAACCGCTAATATATTTGTTTTCAAAAACACTCAAAGAGAATACTTAAATATCAATGAGTTTAAAAAAGTGGAATTTAGCAATGGGAGCTTATGATTTCACAATAATATATAGACCGGGGAAACAGAACTTGGTGCCAGA